ATTTCCCGACTACCACTTATTTGCTGTGTGACCTTTGGTAAGTGACTTTACCTCTCTGAGCCTCACTTTTCTCATCTGTCCAATGAGCGTAATTGCACAATGCCACTTTGGGGAGTCTGCATGTTGATAAGGCTCCGGTGCACAGGACGTGATCCATACCTGTGAGCAGGCCTTGTTTGAAGGCTGAAGGAACAAACCACCTTCTTGGGTTCTTATAGAAATCTTTCTAGAGAAGGATTTTCAGCCCCTATTTGGCCCAGTAAGAATCCGAGGCCTAGGAGGGCATTCTTCACAAACCTCTCTCGTGGAGGCTGCTCAGGGAAAGGCTGAGTGCCTCACTGGGCTGGACCACACCCAGGAGCCCCACCCTCTCTGGGCTGGGTCTCAACACCTGTCTTACCAATCACACCTGTTCCTGCCACCAGGAGAATCCTGCAGCCAGCTCAAAAACCCTCAGTCTCTGGGGAAGACTGCTTAACTGCCTTCACTAGAAAATCAATGCGAATTTAAAACCTCACCACAATCCCACTCTCCTCCTCAGGGAAGGCTAAGATCCAAGAAACTGACAGCAGCCAGGCCAAGCATGGGAAACAGCCTTGCCAAGAGCCTCTGGCAGAGTTGGGCAGTGGGAACCGGGCCCTCTGACCTCGCCTGGTCTCCTAGGAGGAATCTTAACAGATCAGAATACCTATAATAGCAAACATTTCCATTGCACCTTCGCAGCACCAGCAGTAATGCACACAATTTGCACAGCCACCCTTTGAGAGAGGGGCTATTATTATCCCATTTCATTCCATCAGAAACTGAGGCACAGAGGGTGGAAGCAACTTGACCGGTGTCACCCAGGTATAAGTGGCCAGCATGCCATCCTGCCTTTTGGGAGTATTCACGAAAGAACATGAGTACAAATATAAAAGGATATCGTTGTTAGAAAAAGAGAGAGAACCAGTTTCTTATCGTTATCCACTTTCTTTTTGGTTAATTAACTCATTAATATCTATCAATGCTTTCCTTCAAGTTTTTGAGCATTTATTTTATTGGTTTTCTTTTTTATATAAGATTTTACTTACTTATTTTTAGGGAAAGAGAACAAGAGGGAGAGAAACATCAGTATGTGGTTGCCTCTCAAGCGCCCCCTATTGGGGACCTGGCCAGCATGTGCCCTGACTGGAAATCAAACCAGCAACCCTTTGGTCTGCAGGCTGACACTCAATCTACTGAGCCACACCAGCCAGGGGTTATTGGTTTTCTTCTGGCCCCTTGAGTTGTTTGCTTTGCCCATCCCCTTTTGGACTTTTTTTCTAATTAACATTTTTAAAGCTATAAATTTTCCTCAGAGTACAACTTTGGCCCCACCTCTCCAGTTCTGACCTGTAGTGTGCTCACTTCTAAATAAAGTGGCACACCCCTTTTATTCTTTGTGTAACCCAGGATTTACTTAGAAGGGTGTTTTAAAATGCCCAAGGCAATCTGAGTGTTTTCAGTTATCCTTTGTTATTAATATCTAATTTTGAACATGGCCTGTATTACTTCTGCGTTAGGAAACCAACCTGTGGTGTTGGTTTCTGACCTACTATTCAGTCCATTTGTGTGTGTTTGTGTTGTGGGGTAGAGAGAGAATGTCATTACAACCTCTTGATTTTTAAAAAATAGTTTATTTACTTATTTTTAGAGAGATGGGAAGGGAGGGAGAAAGAGAGGGAGAGAAACATCAATGTGTGGTTGCCTCTTACATGCCCCCTACTGGGGACCTGGCCTGCAATCCAGACATGTGCCCTGACTGGGAATCAAACCAGCGACCCTTTGGTTCTCAGGCCAGCAGTGAATCCACTGAGCCACACCAGCCAGGGCAGCTCTTGATATTTTAAAAATTGCTATAGATTTCATTATTGGGACAATCAGGAAATTTGAACGCAGACTGTGTATTAATTAATATCAATGTTAATGTTCTTGAGGGTGGCAATAATATTACAGTTGTGCCTTATTCTTAGGAGACACAGAGTAAAGAATTTAATCAGGATGATATGATGTCTGCGCCTACTTTTGAAAAGTTCAACATTTTCTAGAGGTGTCTCTAACCACTGGCCCGCTGAGGGACAGCAGCTGTGGGGCTCCCTCCTCGTAGACCTCAAGCATCCCGGTGGGTCTGTTCGTCACAGCAGGTGTGCCACGGTGTGTACATCTCTGTGTGTGGAGAGACAGGTAGACAAATGGACGGCTGGCTGGATAGAAAGATAGAAGATAGATAGATAGATAGATAGATAGATAGGATACACAGATAAGTAGAGAGAGAGAAACTAATAAAGACAGAGATAGAGACAGAGATAAGCAGATAGAGATGCTCAGATAAGGAGAAAAAGAGCAGGACCAAGAGAGAGGGAGGGAGAGGGAGATGAGGGGGAGTGACCGAGGGGGAGAGAGAAGAAAGACTAAATATATGGGATGAGCGGGTGTGCAAATAGCAACATTGGGTAAATTCAGTTGAAAGGTCTATTGTATTATTCTCGTAACTGTAGGTTTGAAATGTTTCAGATGAAGATTTGACAAGAGAAAGACAAGGCTAAAGAAAAAGGTTCACGATAACATTTAGGACAAAGTTTTCTCAGGAGGAGGATCGTGGGGACGGTTGGGGTGGCCGGCCACCTTCCGTCCTGTGACCTGGCTGAGACGCACGGCTGTCACTCTGACAGGTCGATGAATGCCTCCGCTTCTGCATTCCTATCGCTCAGGGTGTGGGTTAGAGGGAATGGCTTTTTACGCTTCAAAAATATCACCACAGCAGATTCGAAAGCAACCCGAACACCCATCAGTAGGGGACTCAGTGCAGTGCATTCAGACGAGGGAATACTTGGCCACCTGCACGGAAGAATAACTTGGCCGATCTCTACTGTACTTACACTCAACCATCTCCACGATATACTCTTCGTAAACACACACACACACACACAATGTAGGACTATGTATATGACACGTTCTCTTTGAATCAAAGATGCTTAGGCATGGGTAGGGGGTCTGAAAGGATGTACACCAGAAACTAGCAGTCTCTCGGGAGAAGAGGTCGGGATGGGCGGGGAGGGGTCCAGAAAAACAGGAAAAAATATTTTCTCTTTACCATGAGCCTACATTATTTTAACATTTTGATTTTGAATAAACCACTTTTTCCAACTTATTTCTTTTTAATCCTCATCTGAGGATATGTTTATTGATTTTAGAGAGAGAGGAAAGAAGAGAGAGAGAGAGAAAGAGAGAGAAACATTGATTGGTTGCCTCCCATTTGCTCCCAGACCAGGGATCCAACCCACAACCTAGGTATGTGTCCTGACTGGGAATTGAACCTGCAACCTTTAGGTATACGGGAGGATGTTTCAACAACTGAGCCACCTGGCCAGGGCTTCCAGCTTACTTTTTTTCTAAAACTTTTATTTTCCAGAGAGGGAAAGGGAGGGAGGAAGAGAGGAAAAGAAACATTGATTGTCTGCCTTCTGTATGCCATACCCCATACACACCCCAACTGGGGGCAGAACCTGTAACCCAGGCATGTGCCCTGACCGGAATCAAACTGGTGACCTTCCAGTTTACAGGATGATGCCCAACCAACTGAGCCACACCGGCCGGGGCTCCCAGCTGACTTTTTTACATGCCTCTGTCCTTCCTGCTACTCAGTCTTTGCATCACTGTATCCTCTCCTCACCCATGGACCACGGAAGCACCTGGTGCACAGAGTCGAGAGATCTGAGGCTCTGAGGGGAGCTCTTACAGGGCATCAGAGCAGGGCCAAAGCTGCCTCTTCCGGGAATGAACAAGTACCATGGTAGCTTTGGGTTTGAATATGTGTTTGTTTGTTTGCCTCTACCAGAATCCAAGGAACGGTCATTGTGACCACGGACCGCTGGGATTCTGTCCCCAGAAGGGAGTGTTTATTGCACATGTCAGTGGGGCTGCTATGGGTTTCAAGTAACAGAAAACCAGACTCCAAAATAGCTTCAACAATAAGGAAATTTATTATGTCACTTTGCACAAGTTCCAGAGGTTGGCAGCATGATAGTTAAGGGAAAGATTCAGCTGCTCCAACAGAGATACAAAATAACAGTGGTTTCAATGAGCTAGAAATTGACATCTCTCTCTTCACAGCATGGGTTAACACATTCCGGGGCAGAGATGGGAACACAGTTGCTTTGTTGTTTTCCATGCGGCTCACCACCACACATGCTGTGACAGATTGCAAAAATGGCCCCAGTTCCGCATACCTTCCTGTATCTGTGCTCCTTGGCAATGTCACTTTGCAGATTTTTTCCCATCAGAGGTGGAATGAATTACCCCACCCTTTGAACCTAGCAACATTGTGTCAAGTGTTAAGTGTACATCTCACACTTTCCATCTTGCTCATGGAACCCTCCCCAGTCAGCCTGCAGGATGATGAGAGCTCTGTGGCTCAGTCAGTTGCCATCGACCCAGCCACCCTTCCCAGAAGCACAGAATCACTCAGCTGACCACATGAGGAAGCCCAGCCCAGACCACAACTGCTCAGCTGAGCCCAGCCCAAATTGCTGACCACTGAAATCAGAAAAGGTAACGGTTTTAAGCCTATAAGTTTTGGAGTGTTTGTTATGCAGCAAAAGCTAACTAATACACTTGCATTCTAGACCATGGAATGGGAGGAATATAGGGCGGGCCCTCTTCCATTCCAGGGCACTTCAAGGAAGTTAGATTGATTACCTCCGCTCACATCTATTGGCCAGAACGTACTCACATGGCTGTACCTGGTTGCAAAGAACACTGGGAAACTTCGTCTTTTTTTTTTCTGGCTAACCACAGAAGACTTCTATTTGAAGTCTTCCTATAAAGGAAGTCTTTCTATAAAGGAAGAATAGAATGGTTACAGGGAAATAATCAGGTGTCTAATACGGAGATTTAGCTGAAGTGGTGCCAGGAGGACTTCCTGAAAGAAGAGGCCGGATTTGGCAGCATCTTGGAAGCCAGCCTGCTAAAGGAGCTACAAACTACACAGGAGGATTTTCAGCTTCCACTCTAAGGTCTCCATCATCCCCTGGGCATTTCCCCTGGGGAGCAAGGTGAATGAGAAGGCCCTCCTCACCAAATGCCCTGGCCAGAGCAGAAGGCAGAGAGTGGAAAAACTTCTCCTGGAAATCTCTGCCAACAAAGACATAGAGGAAAGGGTTGAGGCAGCTGTTGAAACAGCCCAAGGAGAAGGTAGCGCAGAGGATGAGCAGCATTGTGGGGTCATGAGGGTTCCGCAGCCCCAGGTGGACCAAGAGTGCCACGTTAAATGGGAACCACAAGGCAAAGAAGGCACTCACCAACAACAGCAGCAACCTCTTTGGCTGGTGGGTGTGGACACAGCCCTCCCACCAGAGCTTGGCAAGGAGGAGGTGGGCACAGGTGCTGATGACCACCAGGGGCACCAAGAAGCCCACCGCAAAGTAAGTGATGGTCACCGCCATGTACCTTTGGCGAGTCACTGGACCCCAGTCATCGAAGCTTCCCTTCCCCTCATGCTCTGTGTAGAACTTGAAGAAGCAATACTTACACGCGTCTGGTTTCTCAGTGGCCTAGAGTCAGAGGTATGGAGAAGAAACGACAGCAGCCAGCCAGCCAGCCAGCTCGCTCGCTGCACCGTGGGGTGGTTTCGGACCCAGACCAGGTGGAGGACGGACATGCAACAGTCCACAGAGATGAGGATCAGGAGGCAGATGCTGGTGAAGAAGGTGAAGGACAGGAAGGCCAGGCACAGCTTGCAGACAAGTCCTCCAGGGGCCACTGGTCGCTGGCCAGGCTGTAAATAGGAAGAGGCAGGGACGCCAGGACCGCGAAGTCGGCGAGGGCCAAGTGGAAGAACCACGTGGTGGTGACTGTGATGCGGTCATCCAGAGCACCAGCCCGTTGGCCACCACGCCGACCCCGAAGGACACAGACAGGGTGGCTATGGTCAGCATGCGGAGACACTGCGCCTCCGCAGGTTGCCATGTGGGAGCCGCGGTGCGGTTCATCTTTCTAGAACAGGAGCGATGACTGCAGGTCAGAGCCACGGGCGACCTTCCACTGCCTTTTGGAGCTCGTGGTCCCCTCTGAGGCCCCTTTATGTATTTCTCCACTCAGCCCAGGGTTGTTGAGCACTTGCTGCGTAAGTCACTGTGGTATTGCTCTAGGTACTGCCCTTTAACAAAACAGGCCCTCTAGTGGGGGCTATCCGATGGGAAACATTATATGTGTAGTAAATATAGCCGTAAAATCCTGCTTTAGAAGGTTACAAGAGCTATGAAAAAAATAAAAAGGTTTGCCCTGGCTCGTATGGCTCACTGGACTGAGTGCCAGCCTGCAAAACAAAAAGTTGCCCGTTGGATTCCCAGTCAGGGTACATGCCTGGGTTGTGAGCCAGGTCTCCAGTAGGGGGCGTGCAAGAGACAACCACACATTGATGTTCCTCTCCTTCTCTTTCTCCCTGCCTTTCCCTCCCCCTAAAAGTAAATACATGAAATCTAAAAAAGAAAAACACGATTTAAAATTTTATGTATTTATTTATTATTTTGGTAAGGATTTTATTTATTTTTAGAGAAAGGGGAAGGGACGGAGAAAGAGAGGGAGAGAAACATCAATATGTGGTTGCCTTTCATGTGCCCCCTACTGGGGACCTGGCTTGTAGCCCAGGCATGTGCCCTAACTGGGAATCAAACAAGCAACCCTTTGGTTTGCAGGCCAGCACTCACTCCACTGAGCCACACCAGCCAGGGCTGATTTAAAAATTGTTTAAGGGGCTTCTGATTTGGGGTAATGTCAGAGTATCTTTGTCAGATAAATAGTCCTGCAAATAAAAAGTTATAAAATCTGAAGAAAATATTTAAAATCACTCAATTTTCAAAGATCTTGGGGAGTGACCAAGCTCAATCATAAACCAGAGGAGAGTCCACCCTTGATGGGGGTCAGAGTTATGAGTTCTCACCTTCTTGATGTGAGTGCAATGTGACTGCTGCATCCTCACTGGCTGGAGGCGTGAGATCACAGATTAGTGGGCAGATTAGCCAGAAACGTAGTGAGGAGGCAGGGAATTGTGAAGAAAAGAAAGCCCAAGAGAAGGTAAACTCCAAGATCTGCATATTAAAAAATCCATCCAATAAGGGAGATAAATGATAATGGGGGAAAATACAATAAAAAATTAACAGAAAAAAAATCCATCCAAATCCTTAGCTTACTAAATTATGCATGTTCACTGGAGACCCCCAGATGCCTGGTGAACAAGCAACAGCTGAAATTTGAAAGCACTGAGCAGAGATTTCAGCTGTTGCCCGTCACAGAGTGTACTCAGAGTTGGGAGCTTGAGTTCATCCAACCGAACTGCCTGCCAAAACAAGAATCACTCTTCAGAGGAACATAACACAATGCAGAGTCTCCACCATATTTCATGCATAATAGCCAAGGATCTGATTTAAAACCACTACACGTGTGAAGTAACAGGAAAGTATGAGGCATATTCAACAGAAGAAGCAGTCAAAAGAAACGAGGATAACTCCACAATAGCATGGATATCATGATATACAAAGATGTTAAAACACCTAATACAAATATGTTTAAAATCTTAAATGAAAGGAGCCCTTGCTAGTGTAGCTCAATGGATTAAGAGTGGGTCTGTGAGCCAAAGAGTTACCAGTTCGATTCCCAGTCAGGGCACATGCCTGGCTTGCAGGCCAGGTCCCCAGTAGGGGGCATGTGAGAGGTAACTGATGTATGTTTCTCTCACACATCACTGTTTCTCTCCTCTCTTTGCCCCTCCCTTCCCCTCTGTCTAAAAATAAATACATACCAATCTTTTAAAAAAATATATTGAAAGCAGCCAGAGAAAAATGTCCCATTGCATACAAAAAAACATTGATATTAACATCAGCTGACTTCTCACTGTAGTGGAAAGGAGGCCATATGACAATGGAACAGTAACTATAAGGTACTGCTAGAAGAAAAAAATCTGTCAATCTAGAACTCGGTAATTTGTGAAAGTATCCTTCAAAAAGGTGAAATAAAGATATTTTCAGATAAAACGAATCTGAGATAATTTATTGCATGCATCCACAAGAATTCCTAAAGAAAGTTCCTTAGGCCAAGGAAATGACACTAAATGCTAACTCATCTTTACAGGAAGGAAAGAAGATCAGAATTGATTTTAAATCAAGGTAAGGGGAATTAGGAATGTGGGGTTGAGATAGAAAGGGGCTCTTTGCAGTATAAAGAAGGTGTGCCCAGTGGATTGAGCACAGGCCTATGAACTGAAAGGTTGCTGGTTCGATTCCCAGTCAGAGCACATGCCCAGGTTGCAGGCCAGGTCTCCAGTGGGGGATGCACGAAAAGCACCCACACATTGATGTTTCTCTCCCTCTTTTTCTCCACCCCCTTACCCCTGTCTAAAAATAAATCAATAAAATGTTTTAAAAAATAAAAACAGGCATTGAACTCATGGTGTCTCCCAGACACACACCTCAGCACTGCAGATACAACAGCAATGAAAATAGTCAGAACTTGGAAACCTCTTCCCTGGTGGAGCTGACAGTTGGCACGAGAAAGCCCTTCCCTGGGGGAGGTGGCGCAGAACTTCCCATCTCTTTGGCTAAGCTCCCCCTGTATTCCCCCCCCACTGTACCGCAGCTGACCTTGTCCCCATGCCCCTACCCTCTGAGCCCTCTGAGGCCCCTCCCACCAAAGTCCCATCCCGTGTCACCGTGTCCTGTGTCCCAGGGCGAGGGTCAGGCCGAGGAAGCTCTGTCTGTGTCCACTGTCTGTGTGTCTCTCCAGGGCAGCTACCAGCCTTGAGCCCGGGTTGGAGTCAAGGGCGTGCGCAGGAAGCTTGTCAGTGAATTTGGGAGCAGATAAGGGTCCAGGAAAGACTCTTGGGCAAGAGTCGTGGTGGATCCAGAGACCAGTATCAGAGCCCGTGACATGTCACTACATGTGGGTGCTGATAGGCCCTGGCAGCCGGGAGTTGGGGGACTAAAGAGGAGAGAGACCTCAGAGGACTCATTTCACGGTGTCATTCCAACTCTCTGCATTTGTCCTTTCCTGGGTCCCGGCCCCGGGCCCCATCTCAGGAAGGGAGTTCAGCTTCCGGGAGCACCTACTATGCGTTGTCCATGTATTACTGCACAGTGGAAGAGTCAGGGAGAGGTGACCTTGAGTTCAAATCCTGGCTTCACCTCTTTTGAGCTGTGTGATCCTGGGCGGATTCTTTAACCACTCTATTCCTGAGTTTCTGCATCACCAAAATGCAGAGGATCATGGTTCCTGTCTCACTGTGCTTGGCTTGGTGAAGGTCAGCTCTGAGTAACCCAGGGCGTGGATTTATTTCTGTGTGTGTTCCGGTCACAGGCACAGTTCTGGCTGCAGTAACAGACAGTCCTCTGAGACGGTTGTATGGAGAATATGAGTTCATATCTGTGCTGAGCCCTGAGCTGTGCCCGGACGGGCTGCGTCTCTTGTGAGTGTTAAATAAGTAAATGAGCAAGGTATCCTCAAGGCAGAGTTTGGAGACTAAGAGCAAAGTTTTCTCCAGCACTTGGATCAACGGGGATCATGGCATGTGTTTTCACATTAAGTGGGATGGAGCCATTTCTGCTGTTTCTTGGTTTGCCCCCCTTTTTCCTGTCAGACTCGGCTAGCTGCCCACCCAACGTCCACTTTCTCCTTGTTGCCTTCAAGCGCCCAGTGTCGCTCAGGGCACATGGGCCCAGACAGAATGATCTGCTCTCCTGGGGCGCCTGGTGACGGGCGGGGGCCCGGCAGCACTGCTCAGGGGTAGCAGGTGAGGCTGAGAGTTCCTGAGAAGGGCTTGCCTTCCTTGACACAGGTCCCACCCTTTTTATTTTTTTATATCGCATAAGCTAAAGTATGTTTTCATTGATTGATTGGAGACAGAAAGATGTATTGTTGCACTTATTGATGCATTCACTGCTTGAGTCTTGTAGGTGCCCTGACTTGGGATCGAACCCGTGACCTTGGCGTATCAGAACAACACTCTAACCAACTGAGCTGTTGCCTGAGCTAGATCCTCAGATTAGGAATACTGGGTTCATAGGCTGTGTGTTTGTCATCAATGTCACCGGCTTTCTTCCCGAGGAGATCGGAGTATTCACATTCCCCAGGGGCAAGATGAGGGGGGAGAGCCCATGAAACACGCTGACGGACCTGGGCCCTGCCTCCGGGGAAACTCTGAGTGCTGAGAGAAGAACAGGAAATGAACAGACTCACAAATAAATGTATCTATTCACAAACAGGGCTCCGGCTTCTGAATAAGCAAGCTTCCTTGAAGAAGAGTTGCAACAGAGGAAGTGGCATCAGGGCCAGAGTTTCCAGCGTTTGCTGAGTATGTGACAATCAAGCTGAGATGCCTAGGATGACAGTTCCCTACGCAATGAGGAAGATGACAGTTCCCTACAGAGTGAGGGAGGGGAATGTGGTGGAAAGAGTGGTGGCCACAGGTGCAAAGGCACTGAGATTGGATCTGCTTTTCTGTAACTGCCTTTTCCCCCTTCTTATCTGGTGGAAATTTCTTTCTTTTTTTTTTTTTAAGATTTTATGTATTTATTTTTAGAGAGAGGGGAAGGGAGGGAGAAAGAGAGGGAAAGAGAGAAACATCAAAATGTGGTTGCCTCTCAAGTGCCTCCTACTGGAGACCTGACCTGGCCTGCAACCCAGGTATGTGCCCTAGACTGGGAATAGAACTGGTGACCCTTTGGTTCACAGGCCAGTGCTCAATCCAGTGAGCCACACCAGCCAGGGCAGATTTTATTTGTTTTTAGAGAGAGGGAAAGGGAGGAAGAAAGAGGGAGAGAAACACCAGTGTGCAAGGGGTACATCTATTGGTTGTCTCTCGCACACCCCTAACTGGGGACCTGGTCTGAGTCCCAGGCATGTTCCCTGAATGGGAATCGGACTATTGATCTTTGGGTTCACAGGCTGGCACTCAATCCACTGAGCCACACTGGCCAGGACCTGCAGGATTTAAAAAAACCCTCACCTGGGGATATGTTTATTGATTTTACAGAGAGAGGAAGGAGAGAGAAAGAAACATCAATGTGAGAGAGAAACAGGGTCAGTTGCCTCCTGTACTCAACCTGCCCAGGGAGGGAACCCACAACCTAGGTATGTGCCCTGACTGGGAATCGAACCCTGCACCCTTTGGTCCATGGGACAATACTCCAACCAACCGAGCCAGCCAGCCAGGTCTCATTTGCAGGGTTTTCTCCAAGGATGGCGCCCCTTCTGCAGATGCTCACGCGGCACCAGGAGCAGTTGTGTGGTGCTGGCTGTTGAAAGATGTCTCCCTGTTTCAGAGGGGTCAGGGTGGGGGGAAATGTGCTTCTAAGGGTTGATCGAACATGTTGCCTTTTTCCTCGCGTCGCCCCCTATATCAAAGCCAGCTCCCCTCTCCGAGCGCGCCGCGGGGAGCGGCCGGGGAGCTGCTGAGTCCTCGCCAGGCTGCGCTCTGCCTGGATTCTGGGATGGCTTCTCGCAGCGTTGACATCCTACCTGGTGCACTCAAGCAGGGAGCTTTGCTTCGTATCGTTGATTTCTAGAATTCGGTATTTCCCCTGCTGCTTTAGAGTCTTCAACCTTTTAAAAATGTAACACCTCCTGCAGTGTGTGGAGGAGAGACGGCTCCGTGACGTGGCCTCTGACCCACCGAGGGGACGGGACCAGAGCAGAGGTTGCTTGTTCCAGCAAACCCTCCTCACGGACTGTCGGAGCCTCCTGAAGGTTCCTTCTGACGGAAGCGGGCACCCCTCCCCCGCCTCCTGCCCCCACGCCGGTTCCCGGAGGTCGTGCTGACCTGCTGGCTCAAACGTGTAATTTCCTGTGTCTGCCAGCATTCACGTACGTGTGATTGTCCCATCGTCCCCTCTATTATTAATTCTCCGGCTCCCGTTAAGCAGTGTGGGGATCCATTTCGTCTCGCAGCAACCCTAGATGCGCGCCTCTGATGGAAGTTGCCCGTAATCCGTTTTATTTCATTACGGGGCTGGAGTGGCAGACTCTTTCTTCTGTCTTCCCCTGACGTCCACTCACGGAGGTAGGCTTTCAGTCCTGGCAACCTTCCCCGCGTCCCTGCGTGTCTGTGGTTGGGACATTCCTGCCCCATTCCCTTTTGGAACAAATTGAAGTTGTCGCACCACCTCCCCCCACCACTGCCGCCGCGTGTTTTGCTATTCTAACCAGTGTTGTGAATAACACTTGGAGAGATAATTTTTTTTTTCACAGTGAGGTTTATTTCTTTGGATTCCCAGAAGTGGACCCCAAAGGAGAAAAGATCTTGATTTTGTTACCCAGAAGGATGGGAGGATAGGCCATAGGGCAGGAGAGGATCCGCCCCTGCCTCACCCACCAGCTCTGAGTCTTCTCATTAAAAAATGTTCCCTGGTTATTGGAATGATTTTGATTTTTTATGTGGTGAGATATCTTCCAAGAACGGTCAGTTGCTCACTATGTTCCATCTTTTAAAAAAAAGACTTTATTTATTTATGTATTTATTTTTAGAGAGAAGGGAAGGAGAAAGAGAAGGAGAGAAACACCGATGTGTGGCTGCCTCTCACACATCCCCTACTGGGGACCTGGCCCACAACCCAGGCATGAGCCCTGAGTGGGAATTGAACCTGCAACCCTTTGGTTTGCAGGCCAGCACTCAGTCCACTGAGCCACACCAGCCAGTGCAACATCCCCTCTTTTATGAACTGTCTCTTCCTATATTTTGCCCACTGGCTTCCTGGAATCCAAGAGGTTTGTTCCTTTTTCTGTCACTTGACGTGAAGAGATTATTAGTGTGATTTCTGTCACATGAAGTACAATTTTGTTCAAGTCAATTTCTTCACTTTTTATTTTAGCATGAATTGTTTTTTCTACAAAGAGCTTTTAAATTTCAGGTTGTCAAACCTGTA